TCTTACCTTTAGGTATAAGGTCGACGTACGAGCTAGCTAAACTATAGTTAAAACATGCTTCTAACTATAATTCGACTATGTTTATACCTTAAGAGACTAAGCTAGGAGTCGAGGGCGTAGCGTTAGGAGGAGCTAAAACATAGTTAGATTATAATGCGCAATTATAGTAGGACTATGTTTACTAGTCTAGGTGTAAGGAGTGCCTCTAGCCTTATCGTAGTCGGCCTTTAACTTAGAGTAGTAGTCTAACTATAGTTAGAACAAGGTTTTTAAACATAGTTTAAAAACTTACCGATAGTATGCTAGGTCTTCTCGGTGTTACTAGGCATATAGTCTAAACATAGTTAGAATAGGTTTTAAACTAGAATTAGACTATAGTTACTAGGAAGGTCGACGCCCTACTTAGCGTAGTGCTTCTTAACGTAGGTAACGGTAGTGCCGCGGGCACTAAAGGGCTTAGCCTAAACTATAGTTAAAACAAGGTTCTAACATAGTTAGACTAGGATAGATACGCTATAGAGGCTAACTTCGCTATCGACCTATACGTTAAAGTTAGAAACATAGTTACTAAAACATAGTTAGACTATAATTATACCTTACCGAGGACGACGTAGTAGCGAACCTAACCCTTATAGATTACGGGGAAGCTATCGGCCTTAAGCTAAACTATAGTTAGAATATAGTTTTAACTATAGTTACAATCTTCTACACTTACGTCCTAGGGCTTTATCTTCTTAGGGTAGACGCCGGTAGGTAGGTTCTAAACATAGTTAGAACATAGTTCGAAACTATAGTTCGGACTTTAACTTACTTTATACTACTCGTAGGTAGGATTACCTACTAGACGAGCGGACATTACGGAACGTAGTTAGATTATAGTTAGATTATAGTTACGGGTCGGGGGCTACGGGGCAAAAAAAACACTCTATAAAAGAAATAAGTTAGCAAAACGTAGTTAAAATAAGGTTAAGTGAACCATAGTTAGAGAGTAGTTAAAGAGGGTTATAAAAATCGAAGCTAGAATCGTAGCGATAGCCTTTACTCGAGATATCCTATCTTATAACCATGTTTAGAACATAGTAGTTAGAATAGGATCTTTCTAAGTGAAGTAATAAAGTAAAAATTGGCGATCTAGTCTTAACTATAGTTAAGACTCTAAAATAATAGATCTTTCAAAATTTGTTATGCGCGCGCGCGGAAGTTATGCAGTAATGCGCGCGTAGCGTAGCGCGTATAATAGAAGTAAAATAGAGAAGGAATAAAGGAAGAATAGGTATGTAGAAGGTAGTTATTGTTAATACTTACACGGCGTAGTAGTAGGAGAGAGAGAGGACTTGGAGCGAGACGATCTAATAGAGACGCGGCGCTACGAAGCGCCGCGCTAAGCCTTACGCACGGACCACGCCGGAAGCTTCCGGCGTAGTCACTTCACTAAGCTAACGGTCACCTCGGCTCAACCGTGGTCAGCTCGGCTTACCACATGGTCAGCCGAGCTGAAACCTCTGCGGCGAATATTTGCCGACAGGTTAAACACGCCATTTCAACGTATCACACGGAAATTTGTTGCATACAAGAAATCTTGGTTGTTGATAATATTTTCAATTGTGCTGTTATCTTCTTCTCGTCTCGATATGCTAACGCCATGCTGTTTGGAAGAAACCTTTTTGACCTCCTGTTCATATGCAGCAACCCCTAAAACCATCCTCGGAAAAATGTGAGGCTCCAAATAACGCCTCGCTCGCCTGATATCAAGTCCCGCTTGAAAACGTTCAAAAATCATGGGTATAAGCTCTGTTCGCATGCTTGATCCGAAATTCACAAATGTCGTTGTCGTTAATGCGACGGCTGGGTCGCTTTTGATTCACTGACCATAGGCGCCAGCTTGGTGAGCAAACTTGGTGTTGGACTTGGTGATGGTCTTCTCGCGACCGTAGGTGTCCACGATGGGGAAGCGAGCACGACGCTCAAGGTCGTCAAGATCCATGTGAGAGCGGATGTACATGTTTCTGCTGTCATCAGGAACCTGGTAGTCCCAGCTGTGGAACTCGCCAGTCTTGAGAGCGCCCCAAACGAAGCGGCGACGGCGCTGCTGAGCGAAGACATCCTTGGTGATGGCATCAAAGTCCCACTTGGCAGCTGCCTCCTTCTCGAATGCCTCGAACATGGCCTTGGTCTCAGGGTCATCGCTTGTGGACAAGTTGGTGAGTTCCTTGGGGTCGGTAGAGAGGTTGAAGAGTTGAGGTGGGTCGACGGGGCAGGTGATGTACTTCCAAGGGCCACGGCGGATCATCATGAGAGGTGCGATGGTACCCTCACCCATGTACTCAGCGAAGACAGTGTCGTTACCCTTCTTGCCTCTGAGGTGAGGCATCATCGAGTGGCCATCCATAGGCAGACCGGGGACAAGCTTAGTGCCAACCATGTCGCAGAGAGTGGCGGGAAGATCGAGAGTGGAGACATTCTCGTAGACACGGTGAGGAGTGTACGACTTGGGGTGGCTGATAAGCATAGGCACGCGGACAGAGCTCTCGAAGTACGACATCTTGTACCACAAGCCACGCTCGCCAAGCATGTCACCATGGTCACCACTGAAAATGATGATGGTGTTGTCGCGGAGCTTGCACTTGTCCAGAACATCGAGCAGCTTGCCAATGCAGTCGTCGACGTACGAGCAAGCACCGTAGTAGGCACGCTTGGCCTTCTTGATCTGCTCGGGGGTGAAGTCATAGTCCTCGAGGTCGCAGACGTGCTGCAGACGCTTGCTGTGTGGGTCCTGGTCTTCCTTGTTGATCTGAACATCGGGCATGTCGATGTCGACATCCTCGTACATGTCCCAGTACTTGTCTTCGATGGTGTAAGGGTCATGGGGGTGGGTGAGAGACACGGTCAAGGCGAAAGGTCTGGCGTCAGGGCCCTGGCGGACGTAGTCGTACAAGTACTGAGTACTCTTGTGCATGCTGGCCTCGTCGTAGTCGAGCTGGTTGCTGCGAACGCAAGGACCTGCTTGGAGAATGGAGCTGCTGTTGTGGTACCACTCAAGACGGGTGTCGGGCTCGTCCCAGTTGACAGCCCAGCCATAGTCGGCAGGGTAGATGTCGGCTGTGAGTCTCTTCTCCCAACCGTGCAATTGATCACCGATGAAGTGCATCTTGCCGGCCAAGACGGTCTCGTAACCAGCGTGGCGGAGGTAGTGTGAGAATGTGGGGGTGTCGGAGCTGATGGACGAGGCATTGTCGTATGCGCCGATCTTGGAAGGAAGCTGGCCAGTCACCAATGACATGCGCGAAGGTGCACAGAGAGGAGATGGGCAGTAGGCAGAGTCGAAGATGACCGACTTCTCAGCGAGCTTGTCGAGGTTGGGAGTCTTGATCTGCGACTTGTCGTTCCAGATCTTCAGTTGAGGAGCAGCCAATTGATCGGCCATGATGAAGAGGATGTTGGGGGTCTCTGGCACTTGAGGAGTGGATGCGCCATTCTGGCCCAAGAATCCTGGAGGAGGAGTCTCAGGGGGTGTGGAAGTCATGTCTGCGGTCGTGTTGATGAGATGGGAGAGAATTGGAAGGCGAGGTAGACGATCTCGTCAGGTTGGTGTGAAAGCGAGGATGAACGGTTGTTCTCTCAAGAAGCAGATGTGGCGACGTCGTCTTTATGTTTCGAAGGAGCGGTGATGAGCTTCTACTAAATTCTTCCGGGGTCTGTGTCGATAGATACCAACGAAGCAGATAGGGCGCGCGTGCTCAATTGTTAAATTTTGATGATAGCGAGTTTCCTTTCATGTGATAGTCAGGAGTGAGGGTTGTTGTTGACAATACGGGGTGTTCGGAACGCGTGGCTGAGGGAGATGATTGCCGATCAAGATTGATTGACTTGCAGGCAGCAGAATTAAAAAAGAGTCAAACAAGATGAATTTGAGGAGACAAAGAGATCAAGCGGACAAGAGAGCTTCTAAGTACTTTCACACAGCGACGACGACCCCGGCTTACGATCAAGGAGGCAATGGGGTCGATTGGTGATGAGAGGCCCAAATTGCGTGCTCTCACACCATCGCTTTGAAATCGAGAACGCGAGTCTGAAGTTGCGACTGTGTCATAACATCCGCCCCGGAAGCTTGTTGCTTACCCCGTGAAATACATATGCAGCGTCCCCGGACCTGCCTCACTAGCGTGCCGACTACCAGGATTGCAACATATTGCACCATCGATCTCGCGCTCCTCGTCCAGTGATCTCGCTGGAAAAGAGCCCCCATGCACATAACACGTTATGGACATGCGAGTGAAAAAGTTGTAGATTCTGGGGGATCTCTGGCCTGCTTGGAGCTACTCGAAGAGGATGGTACTTTGGAAGATGTATCGCGAGATAGATAAGATCCGTGAATCCCATGCACGCAGAGGAGGACAAATGTTTGGGATCCGTGCACGGACGAGAATTTCGCCGCTCCGGTGCAGCATGTGAGGCGACCAAAGCCAGAGATCATCTCCAACGCAACAAAGCAAAAAGAGGAGAAAAGGAGAACAATGGAGTCACGCGCTACAGAAATCCCCTCAGTCTGGGCTGTTGCATTCGGCGCTTCCGTCGTAGCAGGTCTCGCAGGCTACTTCCTGGGCACTGCCTCATCTATCGGTGTGTTTGGCAACAGCTCTCAGAAACGCGTCGTCAGCAGCAGCGAAAAGGGACACGACAACAGCGACAGCGACGATGCCAACGCATCCGACTCCGAATTGGAGGACTCCGAAGATGATCAGGAGGTCAATGGGTTTGAAGACTCTACCGAGGAATGCAAACTCGTCCTCGTTGTCCGCACCGATCTGGGCATGACAAAGGGTACGTATCGCTTTTTCTTTGCTATCAATCAACATCACACGCCCTCTATTTCCCCTCTCTTTCTTCGCTATCTTTCGATACACACGCTGCGTATCTTGAGCTTCATGCATTCCATGCCCCGAAAGAGAAAAAAGATGCATATCATTATCTGACACATCAACCTTTTTTTGCTGCGTAACAGGCAAGATAGCAGCCCAATGTTCACATGCCACCCTTGCATGCTACAAGACACTTCTGCGACAGCAATCACCAATCCTCAAGCGCTGGGAGGGATATGGTCAGGCAAAAGTCGCAGTGCAGGTCAAGAGCGAGGAAGAGCTCATGATCCTGCAGGCTCAAGCTATCAGTTTGGGTATCTGCGGTCAGATCATCCACGACGCTGGTCGCACACAGATTGCCAGCGGTAGTGCGACAGTACTCGGTGTCGGTCCTGCTCCAAAGTCCATGGTCGATCAAGTCACTGGACATCTCAAACTTCTGTAAATTAACGGTTTCCGCAACGTGGCGAACGTCATGAGATGATCCCCACAGCTTCGTAAGCGACACCGCGGAGAGACTCTTTGAACAGCCATGACGAGAGCAAACATCACATCAACGAAGAGCGTCGCGAGATCGCAGGAAGTGGAAGACAATTCACATTGTCTAATGTCCTATTTCGTTCAAAGCACTCGACAGCATTTTCAGAAGATACCGCAAGGTCGAGAAGAAGGAATACGCAAAAGAGAGTTTCGTCAAATCAGAAGTTCTAGAAGGCCAAACACCAAGCCACTTCAACGTCGCGTCCTGCGTCGGCAACAAAGGACAATAGATATAACAACACAGAAAAGCTAGAACGTTTACAGCATCGTACCACGATTGCTGATTTGATGTGTCCGAGCAAAACAAAAATCTTCCTCAAAGCAAACCTCTGTCCCATGATAGCGATGTGATGCCAGTTTTCGATTGCTGTTCTCTTCGTTCGCGGTCACACAACAAAATGTTCATCCACAACAGAATCATGACGTATCGGACACTGCACTATCACTTCTGAACAGCGGGAAGCCTCCGAGGCTTCGTACATCGACGATTAGCTTCATATCTGCATCTCATGATTCGTTGTCGCCTCAAGATGTGTTGAAAGTCTTGTTGGGTGCACGACCCTGTCTTCGTTTTCCAATCACTGCTTTCCACCTCTTCTGTCCCTGCATAGGCTTGCAGCTTTATACCGAGCAGAAGCAATCAGTGGCAATGCAAGGTTGTGCATGTCAGTACTTGCCCAGCTAATCTAGAACCAATCTGCCGCTTGAAACACTCGACCATGACAAAGTGGATTCCTCACGAAACACCAAAGCAGCATTGTAAATAAAACAGCAAGTGATAATGATTGATAGCTACGGGAGATAAAGCCAGTGATTGTGCAGGCGTATGAGTTCGTGGTTGAGCTATCGAGAGAGCATTGAGGACTGAAACATCAAGCCAGCAGCAATATTCATTGTCAGCAAGATCAACTCTCGTTCTCAACTGTCTACCTCTGGTACGAAGCCCCGAATCTGATTCGAGTCCAGATGGCCACACAGGCATCGACGGTCAAGAAAAGGTATCCTCATTGAGTGGCGGTACTCTGCCAGTAGGCAGGCAATCCCACTCTGGTTGGGGTAGCCTTCATGGAGCGAAATCTTTCCAGGTCAAATGGACCGACATTCTTCTTGAATCTTGCAGCTGGTAGCTGAGGGCGAATCCAGAAGTGCTTGTCCTCCTCATCCCAGCCAACACAGAAGTGATCGGTGTTCCAGCAGGTCTTGCAAGCATACACACCCTCATCCTCGATGGTCAGGTAACACTTACCACCGTTGAAGATGGTAGAGCGGACGCAGCCAGCAGTTCTTGCCTTGTTGGGCCAATCTGGGTTCTTCTTGTCGAAGTCCTTGAGTTGCTTCCTCCACTCTTCACAAAGCTTGTCACCCTCCCGCGTCCATGCTCGGATGGTCTCGTCGTCTTCTTCACCGGAGAGCTCCAGTACGTGTTGAACGCTGTCGAGGTATACTATGACATCCTCCGGTACTTGGGCGCCGGGACGAGGGGCTGGGTCGCGGGGTCTGACGCTCGTGTCGCCCCTGGGGCTGATGGACTCCTTCTTGCTCGGGCCAGTGGTCATTTCGCGGGCTCGAGCACTCAAGTCGACAGTGATGCTGCTAGCGTTTCTCTTGCTCGGACCAGGGGTGATGGCGATGACAGCATTGGAGCTGGAGACACGCATAAGTTTTCCAGAACGAGGTTTGATGTCTTCGCTTTCTATGTTAGGGTTAGATGGGTACTAGAGGTGGAAGGACTGTACTCGCCTTCAATGGCATTGGCCTTGCGCTTGTTGTTTGTAGATGAGCGGCGAGCAAGGAACTTGCTACTAGATGTGCTGTCAGAAAAGAAACGGCATTACAGAAAGGGATGTCAAACTCACGGAGTATCATCCTGTTCAGCATCATCGTCATCACGATCAAAGGGGTCAGGATTGGATGAGCGAAAAAGCTGTCTCTCCGCCTTCAAGCTGTTGATCTCCTGAACCTGGTTCTCGGACTTGATTATGTTCAGCTTCTTCAAGAGATCTTGCTGTGACTCGTGCAACTCCTCGAGTCTCTTAGCGAATTCATTTTGCTCTTTGTGAACTCGCTGCACAAATTCGCGCTGCTCGCTCTGCGTCGAGTCAGTAAATGAGCAACTCATGAGGCGAGAGAGGACGTACCTTGATGTATGCAATTTCTGTGATGTTCGTCTCAATCAGAGTTCCGATGGAGGCAAGGTCGGCACAGTCCTCTTCGACTGGAAACTCTGCATCTGGGGGAGGCATGATGAATGTTCGATGATTGTGAGAACCAGATGAGAAATTCAGTGTGCCGGTCAACTATCAGAATCAATGGTTGTTGAGGGAAGAGTCGAGAAAGATTGAAATAAGGCAGACGCGGATGTGTGAGCGCGGATCCCTTCGAATTGGAACTCAGAGTGAAAGGAAGCGTTGACGGAAGCCGCACTCTGGTCGCGACTGCCTTTTGAAGTAGGAGCCTGATCCTCAACCGTGTGAACCGACAGAAACCGGTGCTCTGCAACATTTTTGCAGAAAGAAACGGCGATATCGCGCTCAATCTCGTGCGTTTTGGCCAGGTCTTGATAGTGTCGCGCAGCAAACGCCCATCGTTTGTCTCAAAGCTTCACAACCTCGGTCAGTCGCTCTCACGTAACGCAGTGTTTGTGTGTTTATATGAAGGTTTCTACTTCTATCTCTCATCTTATTTTTAAAGCGTGTACTCGAGTAGTGTCGCACACAATTGGCTATCAGCTGTTGTATTGATTGAGTAAAGTTCTGACCCGGTCCTCGTCGTTCGCTTGTATCGCGATATCAACGCCGTGCCCGCCGGTGCCATTATGTTGCATAGCCGTTGAATCATCTTGCGCCGAGGGAGTGTTGAGCTCCGTTCTCATGCGACACACATCAACATACTACTTAAAGTCAGTGACGTGCCATTAGAAAGCTGTCTAGTCACTCACCAGAATCTTGGCCTTGGAATAGATGTCTTTGAGTGGTTCGAGTATCATCTGACATACCAGCACAGCACCAACTCTGTTTTCCTGACCTGGCGCAGAGTAGCCGACTTGCTCGGGGATGAGGGTCAAGATCTTTGCACATTGATGTGCGCAGCCAGCAATGGCTGGATCATGGACAGGCTTCGCAAGACCGAGGTCGAGCACCTCTGCCCACATCTTTGTAAGCTCGATGGCATGTGACAAGCATTTGAGCCTCAGATTCTGAGAAAAGTTCATAGGCGTGCTCTGGAGAGCTGTTTCTGAGACACATTCCTTTGTTCCTGACACTGTCAGACGGTGCAAGTCGAGTTTGCATTGCAGTCGCCAAGTATGTAGCATGATGTAACCTGAGAGACCTGGTGCGTAGATACGTTTTTGCAGATGTGCCTTGTCCCACTTGAGGTCGTCTGGAATCTGTTGTTCGATAGCATCAATATCCGAGTCCAATGCAAAAAGTTCTTGCGCTGAAAGGTAAAGGCTTTCGTCAGAGGAGGTCACGCGCTTGGCGAATCTTATACTAGTCAGCAATGAAACGAGAGCTTGAAGCGCGGCGACCTACTTGTGAATCTTATTGCGTAACAGATCCAAGAAACGTATAGTATATGCAAATTCATCCATACCCTTGGCATGATTGACAGGTATACCCTCTTGAACTTGAGGACGAAGCACTTCAGTATCAGTACGTTGACCGAACCCAAAAGCCTTTTCGATTGTGGGAAGGCGGATCTCCATATACTCGGCAGGGACTAAAGTCAACTCGCCCACTCCGCCAGAGCAAAATTTGTCAAGAACGAATACAGACCACATCAAGCGTCGTCTAGATTCTTGCTCGACTACGGAAAGGGAAGGGTCTTCGTGATTGAGACGCTTGGCAAAGGCCAGACGAGATGAAAGCCCAAGCAACATCAGTGCCTTTTTGGAGTGTATATGGTAGTTGAATTCGAAAAAGGCGAGCAAAGTCAGAGCTTGTAGACGAGGAACGGTAAGATCGTCAAGATTCTGAAGTGCGTCCAATTCGGCTTCTCGCATCCACTGTGCCGCTCGCTCATTGTCTTCTTGTGTTGTTGAAAACACCCGAAGAGCAGACCCGCAGACGACCTTGAGCAGAGACAAATTTACTGTGTAGGTATGCCACTGACGTAGGAATGTTGCTTGATGCAGAAAACCCATGCAGCCTACTGGATACACAAACCTGAAGAAAGCTTCAATGTACTCTGCAATGACTTCCTTGTCTAGACCCAAACTGTTGGTTATTGAATTAGAAACAGTAAGGTAAAACAGCGTATTTCGGCTTACTGATAGTCTTCATTAATGTTCTGTGTGACTAGTCGTCGAGCGTATGGACGCGCAATCGGAGCTGGAGCTTGATAAATTTGACCAGGCCGCAAGTTAGAAGATGGCGAGCCATGCTGTTGGTCATGACCGGGGACATCATATCGCGGTAATCCAGCTTCCCAGTCATCTCGCGTCGCAGGGCTGTCGTCGTCGAGCGGTCCTTTGTTGACAGCAGGATATACGCAAGGTTGATCACGAATCGAACACGCGCCGCACGGGGTCCCACCCGAGCAGCGAACTTTTTGACGACGACACCAGTGGCATGCTGTCCGTGTCGAGACGCGTTCTTTGTTCTTCTGTACTCTGTTTCGAGGCGCGGAACGCGGTCGACGTGGAGTGGTCGCAGTACTCGTTAAATTAGAGCAGATATACCCATTACGCACACAGCTTCCGCAAGCTTGACGAGGGTTTGCGGCGTCCGTCTCGCAGTGTAGTCGTCGCGTGCGACATTCGACGCAACCAACAGCAACTGCGGGTGTCGCATCCAGGGTCCTTTCGGTTGCTTCCGGATGCTGTTCGGTAGACATGATAATGGGAGATGGTTGTTTAGCAGAATGGTGTGTCGCTCAAGACCGAGGTGAACGCAAAATTGGGTGCCGAGAGTGGGGCTGCGGAACAGTTCGTCGCCCACCTCAGCCGCGACACGCCTTCTCTTTTCGCCTTTCAACCTCGAGCAACTCACAACTAAGTTATCAGCAGGCCTTCCAGTTCATGGCCACAACTTTCAACTGCTGATGAGGCTTGTGTAAGATCCTGTAGCTAGTATTCGCTTTGAGGTAATGTCTGGTCACAAACCGGTCTTCTAGCCTTGCAGTCACCACACATCTCAGACATCATCTTTCAACCTCGGACGATGCTCTCAATCATACTAAGAGCAATCGGCGTTTCGAAGGCGTCTGCCTGGACGCCGTCATATTTTCGGCGCTTTACTCTCAGCAGTCAGCTCTGCCTCAATTACGCAAAACTGGACGATGAGAAGCGCAGAGCCTACCTGGAAAAGAATGGAGCAAGAAAAAAATCTCGTTTACTCGCCGATCCTGATTTTCGTGAGAAAGAATACCAAAGAACAAGGGATTTTCACAAGATATCAAAACACAAAGAGGAATTCGTGTTACGGTATGCGCTATACCGTTGGATAAGGCGATGTTCTTGGGTATGCACAGAGCTACCATGGAAGTCTTATCGTCCAATCTATTACAATCACCGTGTTGAACACTTGTGTACTGGCTGCGCATGGACTAGACGAAACGGGCTCAGGCTGTCGTGGGCAAGAGACGTGGGAGCCTCTAACAGCTACGACGAGTCAGACAGTCATGAGTATCTTTGTGGTGCTTGCTACTCACAGAGAGGATGGAATGAAGCGATGCCTGCTGGCTACGAAGACATTAGGCTTCTCAAAGACCTGGTGAAAAGAAAAAAACAACTCGATGACACCACATTCAAGAAGGTCTCATGTGCAAGACATCAAAAAACGCAATCCACTTGCGACAGTATCTGAAGCCTACTGCGACAGTTTTGTTAGGCAACATCGAAACTACTCACGAGACTGGCCAACAGGGACATCAAGTCCAAACGTCGAACTTGTTGGAGACTTTTTGGATCACACTGCCTGAAGCCCTGATCAATCAAAGGTTGGCACACAGTCCGCTGATATTCAAATCGTCGGTCATGATATTGAACGTTAGACATATCTAGCTCAGATGGATGGATGAATTTTACCGCATCAGGGCTCTCAGCCGACCAAGGCTCTTCTGATTAAACCATCGAAATGCAGATTCTTTTTGACGCTGCTTTCGCCACCCATTGAGAGCTTGTGGTGTTGGGACGAAGATTCATGAAGAGAATGTGTCTTGAGACCTCCATACATCAAGTAGTGTCTCACATGGCTATTCATTATCAAAGTCTGCGACTGATTCAAGGCACAAGAAACTGCGTACTCTTGGAGTGGGAGCACGCATTGGGCACTACAAAAGAAGAGATTTTACACGATAACTCTTCCACGTTATTACATCAGCATCCAATGAACAACAGCAATATCATGCCTCTTGATCTAGTTGTCAAAGGCGAAGGCTCTGCCAGCCGCTTGGCAAACGTCGTCAAAATCGTCATCGCATTCAGGTCCGAGGGACTCTATCGCAAAGAAGCCAGCACAACTCTGTTCAAAGCGGTCCAACAGCTCACGGACACACTGAACAAGATCTCGCCACGTTCCGACAGTGGACACTCTGTGTTCCAGGCCACTTCGGATGGCCCAATCACCTCTTGGAAGATTGGCTCCCTTCATTGCCAGACCGAGACTGTCCGACTCCCATCTACGAGTGTTGTTCAAGAAACTCACACAATCACCACTTCCTGCAGCATTACCGTCCACGATTTACCGATTCTTGAACAAGTTGGCAACGCCATTGTTAGACTGCCCTGCGTTTCCACTGTCAACACACTATGGTCTCTCGACGACCTGGCCAATGTCCGTCTGAAAGTTGAGGTCCATGAGTTGGCCGCCAAGGACGCCCTTAACAAAGCGACTGCCATCGCCTCAAGCATCGGTTTCACAAAGGTCGTGGCAAAGACGGTGGAATTGAAGGACTCAATAAAGGTTGCGATCAATAGCAGTAGTCTGTTTGAAGAGACTAGTCAACGCGCACACGCATATCAGTCAGGAAGGCGTTTTGCAGATGGCTGCCTTCTGGAAGACTACGAGGAAGTTGTCCCTACAGGTATCAGAGGCGATGGCAAATGGACTGGTTGCGATGATGCGGGTCATCTGGACGTCTGGAGGTTGGTGTTTGCGCCAAAAACCATCACGATGCATGCCAAGGTCGAGGCTAACTTCTCTGCTATCAGCTCAACCGGATGGGTCTACGAGGAGTTCAACGAGCATCGCTTCATCACCAGCTGATGCATGAGGCGAATCGTTTAATCGCCACCGAGCGCGATGCACATCAAAATGGTCACAAGAAGCAGGGTCCAGAGGCTTTGCAACCGATCAATGCTACGTCAACATTTCTGGTCAACCGAGCCTCACATCGGGGGTTAATCCACAGAAAAATATTGACAATGGGCCATTTGGTTTCATGCGAATGACAGTGCCACTGAATGGATTCTTATCGATAGTCACAAGGACAAAGAGGCATCCTTCTACTGCAGGTTATCAAAATCATAGAGTAAGTAGCGCTTGAAGTCTTTCGGTTCGGCACGTTTGTGACACATCTCTCCATATGATACATCTCTCCATATGATACATCTCTCCATATGATATGTTCGGTTCCGCTGTGGCAACTTGTCTGTGATGTCTCACGGCGTAGACCGGCCGTCTTATCTCAGTGAGCATTGATCTATAACAGCAGGTGTGTTAGTGAGATGAAAAAGCTTCACACTTAACGTAGACGTAGGGGCACAGGAATTGCACTAGAACCGAGCTCTCAGTCTAGCAAAGGCTCCTCACAACATAGCGGTCAAAAGGCACAATGACTTTTGGTTTTCGAAGTAGGTCCAAAGAGATCAAGGGGCAGTATCGCTCTCAATGGACATGTACTCGATCATCAAAAGCATCCTGCCTTTTTTTAGCTATGGTTATAAGGCCTTACAGGCGAGAGGGAGTTCGGTGCTGGGTCAATTTCATTGCGGCTACGTCTACGTTGCTGACTACAACAGCGAGAAGAACGCCTATCGACACGGCAACCATAGCGACACTTTTTGTCACGTCCTTTCATGTTTGTACACTGCACAACAAAGCTATTTCACAGTCGTGTTCACCACATCGAACCGTGAATCAATCCTTCGAGGATCCCAAATGTTCCAGGCTACCTCGAAAAAGACTATCACATCATTGCAACTCATCTTCGCTTCTCGTAGACGTACCAAAGCTCTTTGCAGACGTCGTACTTTCTGTAAGTGGGAAACGTGACTCGCACATCAAAATGATCGCAAGAAGCAGGGTCCAGAGCCTTTCCAACCGATTAATAGGTCCAACCTCTGATATAGCTTCACTGTTCACTTCGGCGCAACGCTCTCGATACAGCCAGTGAAGACCCACTTCCATCCAATCGCAAATCCGGGTGCAGATACCACAAGATCTATTAGAGACAATTGCGAATTGAGCCTCACTTTCACTGCATCATTCCACTCACCCGCTCACTCGTGGTGAGCTGACCCTCTCACTATTCACGCCTCAACATTCGTTACAATACTTCTTCCTCCATCCTGCTCTCTCTCTCCCCCCCACACACACACACAACAACATCCACAACATGCCGGCCTCACCTCTGAACGAGGCAGCTTTGGCAGTCACCAATACCGATCAAGCCAAATCTTCTTCAATTACCATGAGCTCAACCAATATCTCGAACGTCTCTACTATGAGCTCAACCAAGATCTCGAACGTCCCTACCATCACCCTAAAGCCTACTTCTCTCTACTTCAAGCTTCCTATCGAGATCTTTGTCATGATCGCTTTGCTTTGCGACGCTGAAGATCTTGCTTCCCTTCGTCTCGTTTGCAAACACTTCTGCGTCTACACCACAGAGAAGTTCGGCCAAATCCGTCTCTCCAGCCTCCGTCATCACCTCACCAAGCCAAGCCTCGAAGATTTGATCGCAATCACCGCTCACCATTGCTTCGGATCTTATGTCAAGTCTATCGAGCTCGCAACCGCTCGTTTGAACTATGTCTTGCGCTGGAGAATTCTCCAGGAGGAGGACGATGAGGAGGATGGAGAATTTCATGCTTCCAGAGAACACATCGTCATGCTCACCAAAGCCCTCGAAAACCTCAAGACCCACGGCAACCAAGACGTCACCCTTGGAGCATTTGATCAATGCACGACCAGTCCCTCTCCAAATGACGCAGACTTTGAGATCATCAACAAGGGTCATGGATACGAGGCATCGTATGGGTCTGCCATTCTCACATCCTCAGACGCTTATGGTACGATGCAAGCTCTCGCCAAGGCAACAGAACTCAGCAAGTTCCCTTTCAAACACATCTCCATCCATCTGAACCCAAACTCCAATACTCGCAGAGAGCTCATAGAGAACAACAACTCGACCATGTTTGAGCTGGGCTCGGACAGCTTCAAGCCAGATCTCGTTATCAATGTGGTCATGCACGATCCCTACACAGTCAAGGGACAAATGTTCGCCATCCGCTTTGAGACTGGTTCGAATGCCCAAGTACTGATCGAGGGCCGCAATTGGTCAGACTACAAGTCGGGAGGGTACTCTGCTTCAAATCTTTACAGTTGTGTCATGAGTGTTGGCGGGGTTCTTCAACACAACAAATTCAAGCACCTCACCATCCAAAACATGACATTTGAGTTACCTCAACTCATGAGTTTCCTCGCTATCATTCACGGCCAGGAGTTCCAATACCTAAAGATCTCGCACCTCACCATATGGGACAGGGCTATGACTCCGGACGATGGCGATTTGGGCATCCATTTCCTTCACCAATTCAAGAGGCGGCTGAGCATCGTAACACTGGACATCTCAAATCTCAATCTCATCAGCGGAGAGCCTGCCAATTTGAAGGGACGCAGGTTTGCCAGAGAGCGTATCACCGCCCAAGGCGTGGACAAGGTTCAGCAAGCTTTCGCTGATCTGATGTCGATCGTCCAGTCCTGGTACCACAGTTGTCGCGCAAAGACAGTCAAGGACGAGAACGACCCCGAGGATGATGAGGACGTTGAGGATGATGAGGACGTTGAGGATGATGCTTGGCTTGGACATTGAGTAGGCAGTGCTTGCTATTACTCTAAAGGATGATTTAATGGCGAGATCTGGAGTCTCGAACATATGCCAATCACTCATGGAAAGGAGGTTTTGAGGATCTGGGAAGCTTTATGTTATTTGGCGTACACTTTTTCACAAACAGCCAAAGCACGGACGGAGGCCAGGGAATTTTCTTTTTATCATGTTCCCTTTCGATACATCAGCTTGAGCTTCCAGATCCTCATCAATACAATTGTTTTTCTCTACTCAACAGCCCGTACATCAAGGCATCGCGTTTGTAGTGACCGAAGATCGTGAAAATTTGAGACCCATCATAGATGCAATATCTGATTGAGTTATACATGGCCACTACAGTGGTGATGAGGATTGGCGTAGCTATGCTTGCTCCCCCCAAGCTTCCGTCTTTTCGTCCTCTCATGTCATCAAAGCAATTCTGCAATCTCACGTATTGACCAAAACAATTTTCAGCTTCTCATCCCGCTGTGTGATGCCTTAACACCCCCTACTTTGATACAACCTTGAGGTCCTTGAATCGGGTATCCGCTGAATCCAAAGCAAACTTCAGCACAGCCTTGTACGACCTGAACAGAGCGACCTCTTTCTTGCACTGAGCACAAAGCTCTTCAAATTCCCTTCTGGTGATATTGCGGTCGAGATGAGTATAGAACCTGCGTGTGAGGATCTTTGTGTATTCTCGGATCTTCGGTATGGCGACACCCGTCTTAGCAAGACCATGTCTCGAGATCTCCTGAGCTTCGATACAGCGCAAACCTTGGGCGAGATCTCGTTCTTGCTCCAGTAAGTCCAGAACGATGGCTGCAGTATTTCTGCGATAGTCGTCCACGAATCTGTTGTAATGCTTTCTGGTGACCAGCTCGTTGCCATGAGGGTCGATTTGTGCGGAGACTGACAGCAATGAGTAGAACAGCCATTGCATGGGCAACACCGTATCTGATACGTTTTCGAAGACGCGAGGTTGGGTATTATCTGGCCCTTCTTTGGTCTCCGAAGTAGAAGCAACACAGACTTCGGGCTCGCCGAAACGGCCGATGAACCCGTGTAGCTCGTCCCAAGCATGATCCAAAGCGACCAGATCCGACTTCTGCTCGATACCTTTGATGACCAGATTGAAGGCGTCAATTGAAGGCAGTGTACGCATGACCGAGGTGTAAGACTTCAAAATTTGCAGAACGTCGACCAATGCAGGATCGGTGACTTGTTCGGCCAGAGTCTCGATTGTGACATCGAGCTTTGTAATGGTGTTGGTGTACGAGGGGTCGTCGATGCCTTGGATCATGCCTTGTCTGGCTGCAGCCAATGCGTCGACAGAGAATTGTCGAGATTCGGGGGATAGATGGCCAAGGATAACGTCCATGGCGGCTGGGGAGATGTTTCGAACTTTCAACCTTAACCTGATGGAGTGGTATGAGACCATAAAGGCGCCGCCCCGGCGATCCTTCTCTGCAGAGTCCTTGTCGGAAGCTGCCACCAAAGCAACGAGTTCTCGGATGAGATCTTCGACCATGGCAGAGGGGATCTCCCAGCGGTAGTCCGAGGACGACAACAGGCTTTGGAGTCGAGAGATGATCACCTTGGACAGGTCCTCGCATCTTTCGAGCTGTGCATCGAGAAGTTCATTGACTTCATCGGCGGTTTCGAGTACATCACTGCATGTTCGTACTTCGAGGTTGGTCTGGATGCTTCCTTCGAGTAATGCTGATCTGATAGTTTGCCATGCTGCTTTGGCGGTATTGATCATAACTCCGATCTTGCAAATGAACATGTTCCGAGTCAGCTGGTGGGTTATCGTGATGTCACGTATGCAGTCTTTGACACGAGCGATGGTATCCATCGTGCGTTGTGCATCTGACGCTGGACTTGCAGGCGACTGCCCATTTGTGACGCCGGTGAGGAGGCGCTCACCCAAAGCTTGAGACAGACGGTGAGCTGGAGACTCGGCCATGGTTTCGAGAGACCGGTAGGCTGTGTGTGGTGACAACGGAGATTCTTGCATGCGGTGCTGGTGGAAGGGATGAGGTGAATTGTGGGTAAGAGAGAAACAAGGGGCATTTACACAAAGAGAAGTCACACTCAGTACAATGGAAGGAGCAAACGGGAAAGGTTGAAGAGCTTCAAACCCAGCTGCAGGGGAGCGTGAAGTGTTTGATCCCTTTGCTGTCGACACAACAGGCAGTCGCGTCAAACAAGCTGAGCACGAGGTAGATGTTCTTGCCCGCCTGTGGTTGAAGCGAGGTCTCAACCTTCTGGCTCGAGCTGGTGCTGGAAGCACCTTCTTTCAACTCCATGCGTGCTTTTATTTCCACGTTTCTCCATCCAGGCTGTGGTCCAGCGTCGTTAGCCTCTGTATCTCCGCAAGCACATCTGGAGAAACTCCATGCTGGCTAGAAACCAGACTTCGCACTCTTCTCCCATGGCACAAGAGCTACCCGACGCTTTTGTGATGTCTGACGTTGTCTAAGCAGCTTAGGTTGGAGGTCTATCCTTTATCGCACGATTTGAAAGCTGACAGCACATAGCTGCGCAAATGCCCTGTCGTTCAACGTACACTCACTGGGACGAACTAAGTTCAAAGTCGCCCTTCGAACAGCAACACTTGGGTCCACGACCACAATAGGTTCTGTCTCATGATCCTTGTTTCAGTCCGCCAGTACCGGGCGGAAGTCGGTCGTGTTTCCCGGGAAGAAGAGCAGGAACATGTGCCCATTGAGCCTGTTGATAGGTACATCAAAGAAGACTCCCAACCCGCTATTGCCGCTCTGGTCACGAGAGAGAAAGGGCATAAAACAGATTCAGTATTCAGGCGTCTTGTTCTCCAGCCTTCCCCTTCCACTTCCTACCAACCCGTTCGTCTTCTCCAACTTCAAACACAAAAAGCGCAATGAACAACTCATCCCGATCACCAATATAGACTCAAACCGTGTCTCGTACGGCAGGCTGAGATCATTGGATGCTTACATCGACACTTTCTCCAACCTACCATCATGCACCTGTTCATTGGTATGAACATGCATAACAGATTGCCGTGGAGGAAGAAACACAAGCCATCGGAGCTGCCGTTGGAGCTGCCGTCAACGCAAACCTCACCGTACAAGAATACACGTCTAAACATGTCAGCTTTCATCGGGACAAGACCGAAAAATACAGCATCACCACAGCACAGCGATGGCTCTCTGTGACAAGATCCTCAACATCCTTAACGTCTCCATCACACGCATCAACGGACTTCGCGGACACGCGTGAATGAAGCATACTCGTCTCCTCCACGAGTTGCAAGAACTCAAAGAAAGGCTGTTGAGACTTCCCATCTGTAACGTTGTCAAGGAGACCGGAAATGGGACGAGACGAATGAGAAACTCAAATGAGGAAATTGAGGCCAAGACGATGGATCACAAGGGAAAGAGCAACAGGATAAAGGTGTGGGCGAAGACAAAGTCGAGAACAAGAAGTCTTGTTCGCCGCCATTGAACAATCAGGTCATGTACCTGCTGGATGCACAAGACTAGGTCGAGCGATAATCAGAGCGAAAACCATGGGACACTCCAGGAAATACCCCTCGACGTATTCTTCACTTCCCTCCACGACCACTCTATATGACATCCAGTGACGCCCCTTCACCGCTGATTCTGGCCGGAGACTTTATAGCGTCACCTCATACGAACGAGGGAGAACCGTCACTTTTGCTACTAGAATATGACCACCGCATCACTCATGGCGACATTACTTCACAACATTTTCGCATTCGACCACTCTTTATGAGACATCTTCCGTCCACCACACTCCCTGCCAGTCACATCACCATCCACACAAAAATGACTGCGCCTTCCAGCAAGCCAGATTCGGCAATTGCTCGCATTTCCAATGTCAGATCTGCATCGACCAACGTGAACTCGTCTAAGACTTCGACCAACTCTACCATGAGCCCTTCCAAGATCTCACACAACTATGGCATCTCTCAACAGCCTTCCACACCTTACTACTTCAAGCTTCCTCTCGAAATCTTCACCATGATCGCCCTGCTCTGCGATGCTAAGGATCTCCCCAACCTACGCCTTGTGTGCAAACACTTCCTCAGCTTCGCCACAAAGTCGTTTGGAGACGTTTGTCTCTCAGATCTTCGCCATCATCTCACTAAGCCCAGTCTTGAAGACCTGGTATCGATTACGGCCCATCACATCTTTGCTTCTTGCGTCAAGTCTATCAAATTCTCGACCGCCCGTGAGACCGGTATTAATCGCTGGCGAATCTTCGATGACCTTGAAGAAGGAGATTTTCGTCAGTCTGGTCAGCACGTCGACATGCTCGTTGAAGCGCTAGGAAATCTGAAGCGTTGTGGTAACTTGAAAGTCTTTCTCGGATCTTTCGACAAGGTTACCAACGTGGTTCACACAATCCTCAACAAAGGCCACGGTTATGACAAATCCTACGGAGTCAGCGAGACTGAGGCAATGGATGCTCACGGCACATTCTCTGCCATCTCCAAGGCCACAAGACTCAGCGAATTTCCGTTCAAGTACATATCTGCCCACATGTCTTCAACCGAAACTTTTAGACACCTGAGGGATGTCGACAAGACCGAAATCATCTTCTCTGATGGCTCATTCCGTCTCAAGCCAGATCTCAGCGTCAAGTTGGTTTTCTATCAGAGCTTCTCGATCCACGAAGAAAGCTTGGCTCTTACAATCCAAACCGGCACTACAAGCGAGATTCGGGTTGAGGGATCCAGATGGACGGTCTACCGCCGCCAGCCTTACCCTGTTAGCAAAGTCCTTCACCATCTCGCCGCTATTGGAGGAATCTTTCACTACAACAGATTCAAATGCTTGACACTCAACAACATGACCTTTGAAGCGGAAAGTTCTGGCCGTCTTCTCGCCCTGACCCGCCAATCTTACCAACATCTGAAGATCTCTCATGTAACTCTCTGGGACTCCAACTTCGACCCCGAACCAGATCTAGGCATCCGCTTCCTCACCCACTACAAGAAATGCCTCGGCATCGAAACACTTGAGATCTCCAACTTATGGCTCATCGTTGGACTCCCCAGACACAACAAGGGTCACAGATTCGCAAAGCAGAAGATTGTCGCCAGAGATAAAGTCGAAGTCCAGAGGGTCCTGGCAGATCTGCTCGATATGGTTGAGGGCTGGTACAACAAGGTGCGTGAAAAGACGTCAAATGACGAGAACGTGTCTCGCCAGACTCACGAGAGTGAAAGCGAGTCTGAGGACGAGGAAGACGCGGACTACGAGGAGAATGGATACTGGCTTTCTTCAAGAGACAAGATCTTCAGGTTTCGATAAGATCTGAAACGCAAAGGGGATCGATTCGAGGTCAAAGGGAAGTGCTAGTATCGAAAGGAGCTGGACGGGCGCATCAAGAAGACCAACGCTCGATTTGAACAAGTTTGGCGATATGGGAAACTATAATCGATGCGAACGACGTGTTTCAATAAGTGCAACATGCGGAGAAAGAAAAACAACTCATTTGCTTCTATATATTCCAAATGTCATACAACAAGATGTCCATTACGCTCACAGCTACATTCAGAGAGTGACCAGAATGCTCCGCAACATGTCAAGAATAATCGCCACGACAAACAGATGCAGCTTCTTTCACTGGTCTTCGACCGCAAACCTGAACATGATGATGTTTGCCATCGCTGACGAAGAAAGGAATGGAGAGGACATTGCGACCCTAAGATCAGCCAGACAAAACATTTACCCAATATTTAGCAGTATCCGTAGAATGATGTTCCAGTGCGTCACTTTCACTTTCACGCTCATTTCACTTTCACTTTCACGCTCATTTCACTTTCAGCTTCGTTTCTCCTCTTCCTTTCCGGTTGGCTGAAGGCCAACTTTCCTACACTTCTACACCTCCTCTCCTGTTTACCACTCCACATCTGGCAGATCTGCCACTTGATCACTCCAGATTTGGAACATCCACTTTAGTCGCCAATCAGATCTCCATTCTAAAAACATCCCCAACGCGCTGCTTGTTGGTCACCATCATCATTCACATCAACAGATATCTGTGAGTTGTCCCCAACCTCCATGAAAACAGTCATAACTCACCATCAATGCTAGGATTTGCCCATCATGACTTTCCGATTGAAAAGCTTCTATTTTCAGTACAAACGAGCAGAAGGTGGTGTCTTTCGATGGGTACGTCACGCAGCAACCACACAACAATTACCAAACACCTGCTCCGGCTACAAGGCTCAAGTCCAATCCATCAAGATCGAGACTCCTGGACACATCCTTCGGAATCTTGCTCGAGTTATTGCCATTCGTCAGAAGTGCGCTAGGTTCTACATCGGAAAGCGCGACAAAGACACACAGAGGGAAGCTGCCATCCGCAGTCATCTGCACTGGATCAAATTCCTGAATGAGATCTATCGCATGCTTGCCACGTCCAAATCCAACAATCCCGCGCAGGCTGCTACTGGCGAAACCAAAAAGGATTCGAAGCCGATCAATCTTCCAAGAAACACCTGTTCTATCAACTCATTCGAGGTGCTCGAAGTCCATGTGATAATGGAAGGGCTCGAAGAAGAGTCTCCTCCCAAGGAAGTGCTTGCCAGACCTGAATCAGATCCGCCGATTCCAGAAGAAGCTGAAGACAAATACTTTGAGCTATGGTGCCATCAAGAGTTTTTACAATCTTCGCGTGATGGACTCAAGAGAATGCTGGACAATGTCAAGGTCAGCAAAGGCAGTATAGACGCGGCTGGCCTGATCGTTCATACCGTCCTTCAACATGTGATCCAGACCGATCACGACTTTGGCATCCGGCACCCACAGTTTACCAACCACAAGATGGTGTGCGAAGCTTCAAATATTTCGGTGGCCTCCCTTGGTATGCCCTTGGATGAGGAGGGGAAATCCCTGACTGCCACAGAGAAGGCCCAGGTTGCTGAAAGTGGCTGCAACTCCATCCAGCTCTGGCTGTATGCGCATCATCTACCAAAGTCGGGGAAAACCGCCCTCAAATGTTTACCTCAGATCTCTTGGTGTGCTGTTGTTGCACGATACATGCCCGAAGTGATGAAGTTGTCGTCTCCACGGATCTCGACTTCTCACCACTTTATGCCGCTCACGTTGATATCGCTCGCACTCAAGGCAAGAAATTATCCTTCTTGTGTGCCATTTATCGTCGAGGTCTTGGAGCATGTTCACAGAACGTTTGGTCAGTGCGGCAAGCTACTCTATACCACACTCGAAAGACTTGTCACCAACATGGAGCGTTATCTTGACATCACCGACAAGATCGAAGGCGACATGAAGGTGACCAGAAAGTCATTGGAACCCGACATCAAGGCTGCTGCCGAACTTCTCAAGACCTCTTCGCCTCAAGAGCTTGAATTCCGTCAGTCAATGGTTGTGGCGTTAGGTACAATGATAAGACACATTTCGTTGGACACATACCAACTGGGGCTCGTCATCAACTCCTGCGAGGCCACGCTCTTGAGTGTAGCTCATCTCTACTGCGCAGCAAAGTCGCATGATTTGCTGAGTGAGACTTGGCCTGACATGGAACATTTCTTGGGAACTTATGCGACTGGAAAGGTCAACCCTAAAGGCAAATCCTACTGCCTGACATATCGCTCGCGCTGTCCTCCCAAATCTATATGGTCTTCCTTCCTCCTCGGAATTGGAGTCCCTTTCGGCCAAATCTCAAGAAACATCTTACCAAATGACCTCGAAAAGCTCCGAAACAAGGAATACACCATTGCACCAACTTCTATGGTTGTTGCTGAGATCTTTTGCCAGGAAGACATCGAAAAGCGAGCAGGTAGCGAAGCCGACGGTGCAGACATGCTCGACATGTATTATCGCTTAACAGGCTCGAAGACTCCGTGTGTCAATGAACTTCTGGCAAAGATGGTTGAGTTTGAAAAGCAACAAGATGAGCTTATCCATTTTGATACAGTTCCAATGTTTGTACTGGCCGACGAGAACATCGCTACAAGCACCAAGACCAGTCTTGAAGTGGTTGGCGAAATCTTGAAAAGCTTTGCTGCTACAGAGGACTCTTCAAGACTCAGGGCTTTCTGGGCCAACCTTACCCCCCATATTCGAGAGCATGGAAGAGATGGCTTGAAGGGGTTGGAGGCGTGGAAAGAGATCTCTTCTCTTTACGGATCTGGAAGTGAGAAGCAGAACGTTGCAGAGAAGCAAGCGACCGAATGGGTTCTCCAGATTCTGCGAGGGGAGCAAAGCAAACTGCCAGATTACATGGAGAAGTATCTCTTGGATCTTTGATTTCGTCTCATCATGGGGAACATGGCATGGGTATAATCGACGACCATAAAAGGAATGGAAAGTCAACTTGCGATGACCAGATCCCTAGGATGGGAGGCCATGGCTACGAGGTCTAGATAGATAGCGTGGTGTTATCGAAGACTGCTAGGTCGAAATTCAAAAGTTTCTCTCGTCTTCCGTGAACAAGATGTATCGCACACTCGCGTTAGCCTGGAGGGACATGGAAGGACCGTAATCTCCCAACAGCAAAAGTCCCCCAGGATTCCTTCCTCTGGACCCGTCAAGCAATGAGCAAAAAGCGTTCTACCTGAATAACTTTGTCCTCATACCACAACCACAACATTGTGCATCGGCTAGCCATATTTTTCGCGGCCTGTGCTGCCGTCGCCGGCGACGACTGCTCTTTTTGTGCTTTGGTATCTCATGACCACATGACATGTTCATCGCCTACCGTCCCAGCCTGTTCATTTGCTGTGCTGTTGCCGCTGCCGATTCGTTGCCTTTACGCCGCGACGAGCAGAGAGGGCAAGGGACGAAGCGAACCACGTCGGTATATTCCGATTTCTGTAGCGGTAGTCCGGCTGTCGTGTCGAGGGGAGGGACATCGGTCGTGCAGTTGTCCGGTGCGGAAGTATAGTTTCGTCTGTATCGAGACGGGGAGGACAAAAGTCATATTAGTGGATCTCCAAGTCCGATCTATCTTCCACTTATTGCGTCGAGGGGAAAGGCGTCGGTCATGCATTTATGCAGTAGAGAAACGTAGGTTTGCCGACGTGGAAACGAGGAGAGAGTGTCGACAGAGGGGACTAAGCGAGATATCTACCGTGCTTCTGTGGACATCTAGACAAAATTGAACATCGCTGTGAACTTTTAAAGAGAGCTAGATTGATGGAGCTTTGATCACGAGAGACACGAGAGTTTGTAGCCTTCTTTCCTTTTTTCCAAATCCACTTCGCTTTTGCAGCCTAGCCATCAACCACAGCCAACCCCAACATGCCACCCACCAAAATGGGCACACCACGCAAGTAATTCAACCACTCAAATCTCTTCACCATCTTCTTCAACTCCTTCTCATCAATCTCCTTTTCCCTGCCCTGCCTTTCCAATTCCGCCATCTCCCTCAGAGGGTTGTTGCAAATCGGCAACATAACTCCAGTGATAGGCCCAATAGCCATACTCAGCGCAGCCGCCAGAATCAACCCATTTCTCCTCGTGATCTCAGTTCCGAGCACTCTCACCACACGACCAGCAGGAGAATGATAAGCCAAGAAGCTAAGATTTGCTGCTGCGAAGACGGCGGCTTGGGGGAAGAAGTGGCTGCCACGACTGAAGATGAAGCGAATGGCTGGTAGAGTCGAGGTCGGATTGGGTTTTGACGATTCTTGCGAGCGTGCCGAGGATGAAAGCAGAGGTGTGTAGAGTGCTGAGATTGAGATGATTGCTCCTGCTGTTGCGATGGAGACGGTGGGGCCGAGAATTTCGGCTATGCTGATTGCAGTAGTGGTGTCCATGATTGATATAGCACGTGCAGTTTTTGATATAGTTCAGGACGTGGAGTTGCCGTCAGTGAATCCTCGAAGAGGCAGAAGTTTAAGACGATGGTTTGTTGATGCAAGAGTCTGCGGGCGGTAGAAATTGTCGATTCGGTGTGCTTCTCGAGCTTGTAGCAGATGCTTCAAGTCCCTTGCGTAGATATGTGAATGTTGTTGCAAGCCAGCAGGAAGATTGGTAACTTTATGTTCGAGGATGAGGTGAGGTTGAAGGCATACGTCATGGCAGGGTCACAGCTGACAGCTACGGATTTTGATCAGTCGGGTTTTGATTCCGAAGCATCCGCAATCCGAATCCCAAGCATGACTCAGAGTACTGGAAGACAATGAGCACACGAACGAGTAGTTGAGGGGATAGTCCGAGTAAGCATTGTTGGATGAACATGTACCGCTCCAGGCAAGTTGATAAAGCTTTGGGGCAGATCGGTACCTATCCGACCAGGATATTGGAGATAAAAATGGGTATGAAGAAAGAGAGCCATAACACATCAACCAGCATCGTTTCTAGGACACCGGTCCAATTATCTAGATGATCTCCAAGTCATCGCTGTCGCTGTCAACAGGCAAAATCACCCTGCCATCACCCAAGCTATCTCTACCAGGCTCTCTGATGCCCTTCGCAAGTTGGAATCTTGCCTTCTTAGGGCTCTTTTCTCCAGCACCAGCGCCAGCGCCGGCCATAGAAGAAGAAGCAATAGAGCTAGGTCTTGCATGTGTATCAATCTTTGTTTGCCCCTTCTCAGGACTAATCTCACGCTTGCGAGATTGGTCGCCCAGACCTCGCCTTCCATGGCCACCCCATCCCATGGCTTCGGGACCTGCAGCTGTGGTCTTGGTGCCGCCAGGCAGGACTGAGAAAAGCGCCCTGCGGTTCTTGGCTGGGCTCAGACGGATATTTGAGGGATTCTTGTTGATCAGACCAAGTTCGGCGGCGGTTGGTTTGTACAGTGGTGCGTCTTCGTTGGCAGAGCTTGACGCAGTGTTCTTGTTGCGCTCATGTGTGCCTGATGAACGCTGCAAGTACTCTGCGCCAATGCCATTGCCCATCTGACCAAGCTTCTCAGCAAGTAGACGATCCTTTTCCTTGTCTTTCAAGCGACGGCGCATGGCTTCTGCTTTACCGAAATCGTCCGAGTCGAGTAGTGATGCGGTTGTGCGAGAGCCTGGAACCATAAAGTATCGCTCGTTACTTTCGTAGTCTTTCTTACTAGAGTCCTGTCTGCGTTCGAAGTGACCATTAGGCAGCACTCTAGAGTTCTTCTGGTGCTCGCTGTTGGGACGATACATTGTGTTGACTTCCATTCGTGAAGCTCGCGTCTTGCTAACAGCCAGCTCGACGTGAAAGTCGCAGAATTTGTTTTTGCGCGCGTTGACCCATGAGTGACATTCTTGCCCGTTCTTTTTCAAAGCTGTACAGAATCCAAGGTCCCTTGCGGAGCCAATCTCCATGACAGAATCTTCTGAGCTAGCGAGCTTCAAGCTGAATTTACCGGAATGTTGATTCGTCTTTGGGGGCATGATGCTCGGGTTGAGCATGGCAACGACAGTACCGGGTGTCATCTTCCAGAAAGCTTCGAAAGCAGTGTCGAAAAGGAACAGGTCCACCTCCCACTTCAGATCAGTAAGCGTCATGACCATGAACTTGGTTGGGCCAGAGTCGTCATCTTCCACGGAGGAGGTCTGCTTGTGCTTTGGGCGGGTGTCGTATGGTGTCGACTTGGAGGCGATAACGGCAAGGACGACAAAGTCAGTTTCGCAATCCGGAGGTTCGTATACGGGTGCTTTGACTTCCTTCAGCAAGCGAGGCAGTGTGTAGACCTCTTTGCCGTCCAAAGCTCTTGCTAGTGTTGTGTGTGGGATTTTTCGCTTGGATAGATGTAATGATGAGAAGCTTTCGAAGCAGGATCCATCGGTCGAAGGTTCGGTAGATGTGTTCGTCTCATCGTAAGAGAAGCCCTCGGCCGGGCGGAACGATCGACCTCTGACTTCAGATGTTGACGAAGAGGGCTGAGGAGCACGCTGGGATACGGAAGTACTTTGTGAAGCTGACGGTGTAGGTATTGAACGACTGAAGCTACTGACACTGCTCTCCGAAGGTAGTTGTCTGGTTGGTCTATCGCTTTGTGTACGTGACAGTTGCGGTCTGGATTGTGCTGCCTCTCGGCTTGCGCGAGGAGTGGCTTGCGCGGCGAGTCCAAAGCCTTGTGACCTGGAGTTTTCGATCCTTTCATGTTTTGCTTGTTGTTGCTCTGCAGAAAGGCGACTGGCAGCAATTCGGTCGCTGAAACTTTGCTTTGGTCTTTCGGGTACTGTAGGTAGCGTCGTTCGTGTTGTCGTCTTGCTGGGTACAGTTGTCCCATTCCTAGCTCTTTTCAACGAGACATCCTTCGCTCTGAGGCCTTTGTCGATGCCGAGAAGCACGCGTGCTGGGGATGTTGGACCAGGGAGAGGAGGTGGTGGCATGTGACTTTTGATTGGCGATACCGTCACTTGGACTGCAGTATCAAAGGTTGATGCATGCGTCTTCTGTCTCTTCCGTGGCGAGTTGCTGTTTTCCGAACTGGGTCTCGAGTCGTCATCGTGGGCAGATTGCGACGACTTTTGTTTCTGCAGTTTCTTCAATCTGAGCTTGGCCTGAATGGCTTGGAGTTGTAGTTGCAGGATTTCCTCATCGTCTTCATCGCCATCAGACATGGCCATCATGTCTTGGAGTGCTTTGTTGGAGGAGGGTGGTTGTTTGCGAGGCGAAGGAGAGACGTCACGGTCGCGATCTTGACTGATGCGATCTTGGTGTTCTTGCCAGCGTCTTTTTCCATTCGGCGAACTGAGCAGCGCTTCGAGAGGAGATTTCGGCGGCCAATTGGCGTTGTTTTGAGTGGCCGTGGCTGTGATGTGGTCAGCACTGACATGGTTCATGCTGGATGCTTGACACAGGGTCGAGAGGAGCTTGAATACCTTTGGCTTTGGGGGACTGGCGAACCTGCATTTTCAGGATATAGCTAGTTTGATGCTAAAGAGTCGACGGACGGTCAACATGACATATGTACACAACGGTGCGACTTTGATGCAAGTGATGCAAGGTCGAACATCAGTGTAACCCGCTGTTCAAGTCAACCGTGGTACGCTGTGCGCCGCGATGTTGTCTGGGAAATCCGCTGTTTTTCGGCTCCTTCGAAAAGCCACCGGCTAACCTTGTTTTGGCTCGATTGTGAGAGGTATGATATCTTCCCGTGACGATAGAGAATCAAGTGTGTCTTGAAGAACATCCGATGATATATGACAACCAGAAGCGTTTTCTCAAAGATGATGATGTCCAATGCAATTAAATCATGCAGAGCCGGTGCATCTGACCTGCATCACAAACCAATCCCCAATTTCCAGGGTCCAAAACGCCAAGCAGACACGACACGCGTCGCACTTTGGTCACTTTTGGGAAGTCTAATGACTTTCTTCCAAAAGGCGCGTCTCCTGGCAGAAACGCTTTCCAAACATCTGTTATTTTGTATTTTCAAACACAGTCCAACATGAAGACTCGAGCAACAAAAACTTCAGCGAAAGCTGCAGAAGTCGTAGAAGAAAAAGCCATTGAAAGTGCCACCCTCGAACCAAGCAGCAACAACCCACCTCTTCTATTCGTTCTGCCGGAAGGAGCTTCTCCAGACGCTCGCGTTGTTACCCTCCCAAACCCAGCAACCTCTGGCCCCACACGATACTTCTTCTGCCCAGAGAAAGGAATTCACGAGTTCACCAAAGTCGCCGCTCCGAAGAAGACTCCACGTAGTTGGTTAGTCGCTCCCGATGCGTCTGCCTCGGACAGTTCAGCAGACGAATCGCTGGTCTCGAAGGGATACACTGTCGAGAATGCCGACCTCTTCGTCGCAACACCGGTCGACCCTCTCTTTATCCTCTTGCCCGCCTTGATGCCTGCTCCGGACTCGCACGAGCAACTCTTTCTAACCATTGACGACCACCTGGACAAGCTGGCAGAAGAAGCGAAACATCTCACACATCTGATCCGCTCCATCAAGATCCAAGAATCCTTTGAGAAGAGAGCAGATGCTGTATGCGACAATGTGGACCTTGGACACGAAAAAATGTTCCGTCTTTCCAACGAGAAGCTCCTGACCGAGCTCGTGAAGAAAGCCAATCGCATGGCCGCGAATGGTCTGCCCGCTTCAATAGAGAGTCACTTCGTGCAGGAAGCTCTACGTATACCCATGATGGCTGTACAGCGTACCGAATCGCAAGAAGAGGAAGCCTCACCGCCAACCATAGACACCGACTCGACCACTCCCTCGACATCCGCCAACCAATCACAAGTCTCCGCTGTCACCGAGGCCACCTCCCTGACTTCAGCCCCAGAGTCCGCCCCCGCCAATGTTACTTCGCTCCTCCGCCTCCGTACTGCCCTGAATCTCCTCCTCTCAACCTACATACCCTCGGCTCTCCACACGCCCCTGAACACTCTCTTGAAGTCGTCTTCCTCGCCCGTCGACTTCGCACCCCTCGAGTGCCACCTCTCCCACATCGCCGACCAAAAGCGTCGCGCACAAGCATTACGTTCTCTTTCGGACAATATTTCTCGCAAACGCAGCGGAGTCAATGATGAGGAAGCTGAAGAGAGAGAAGCCACAAAGAGGAGGAAGAAGGAAGAAGACGAGGCCAAGAAGAAGAACACGAGTAGAGGTGTCAAACAACTGGGCAAGGTCAACACCACGGGTATGATGAAGTTGAGTTCATTCTTCACGAAGGCTCCGGCGAAGAATTGAGGAATATGAACGATGTGTATGTTTGAAAGGTTACTGTTGTATCATGCTTCATCTATGTTGTGCTCGCTTCGTTGCCCCAATATACCGCCTTTTGTCGTTCGTTCACCGACAGTAACATTCACTTTGACAACAATTCAAGCCATTTTATCTGCGGTGACCATCTCCGCGCGACTCACTGTCCTATTCTCACTCACACTCCGATCTTCACTTCGACTCTCACTTCTTCCCAAAGACATATATATTCTGCTTCTCCCATCCAACCATCCTTTCCTTCTACACACCACTCCGCACCACACCTTGTCGGTCAGATTTGCACTATTTTGCGATCAGACTTGCTCACTCACTCCCATCCCCTTGGCCAGCTTTGGACAGTCATCCACATCTGCATCAACATTCTCAGTATCTCCACACCTTCACGTTCTCTTCCCGCTACAGCACACACCAACAAACAACACCATATCTTCACGTCTTCGCGCCAGCCCAAGTCTTTCCAAGCACCTGGTCTCTTCGAGATCTCAGCAATATCTGGCTTGCTCTTTCCAACCTCACTCAATCTCTCGGATCTCAGACAACAACATGAGAGGACCTACCGACCTTTACTGGCGCTACAAAGTGATAGAGAAGGGTGTCTTCATCTACATCTACAAAGTCCCACCCAAGACCGCTGCCGGACAACTCGACACCTGCAAAAAGATCGCGGAAAAGGTCAAGACCATCAAGGAAGGCCCACCTGCATATGTCATCGTCAATCTCCAAGTCGTCATCGAGTTGCGCGAGCTCTGCGCCAAATCTTTCGAAAATGACCTTTTTGCCACCGACGAGGTCAAGGCTGCTGTCAAGAACCATCGCTACTGGATCAATCTTCTCAAGGGGATCCTCAAGGACTTCACCGAGCTCGCCCGCAAGGCCAGAGCTAGACTTGAAAGCATGCCTAAACGCAAGTCCAACCAGAGCAAGAAGAAGACAAACAACAAGCCTGCCACCCCAGCATCCAGAGTTGACGCCGAATCTTTCAACCCCTTTCAGCTGCTGGAGGTCGAGCAAATCTTGAACAAGGCAGTCGACGACCAGCCCGACGTTGTCAGATCTAGCGTCAGCGGACTTTCGACCGACCCTGAAGAGAAACTCTCCATGCCAGAGGAAGCTGACGACAAACTCTTCAGAGTCTGGTGCAGAATTCAACACCTTGCCTCAGGTAGAGATGGTCTCTTCAGGCTCTTGGACGAGGTTCGTCTCGGAAGGTTCTGCTTTGAAGGAGCTTCTGTCATATGCTCCAACATTTTCAGACAGATGGCTCATAGTCACGTGCGTTACGCTGAAGAGAACCCAGATCTCACCGACCACAGTGATATCTTGACATTTCTCAACGTCCCCGTCGAGCACATGCATCTCCCTATCGAGCAACGTGTTTTGACCAATCGCGAAAAGCTCTTAGTCGCAGAGAGCGGCAGCTTGACCATGGCTTGTCTCACTCTTGCCCACGCGGAAGGAGCCACGGAGGCTATGCAGTATGCCGGATCTGACTTCTGCAGATCTGTGCTTGGTCATGCCAAACCCTTCTTCGCGATTGAATACCGAGATGAAAATTCAATCACTGCTGACGACTTTTATTGGAGGCAGATGTCCTGCTTGGCCAAGGTCGACGCATTTCCTTCCTACATTCCCTTCATCATCGAAGTACTCAGCGCTGCGCACGATTACTTCTTCCACGGAGCAACCAAGATCTTCAGAAACCTTCGCCGAGCATCACTCATTTGGCATGGCGCTCTGGTAGTTCAGTCTCTGTACGGCATAGGTGGCGATCTGAACATCGTCACTGACGACTGTGGACCCATCTACAAATATCAAAATGAGGATACCTACGATCCTGAGGAGTTTGCCTTCTTCAAGACAATGCTGATCACCATGGGCGGTCTCACCAGAAACGTCAAGTCCGCCCACTACGCACATGGCTTGGCAACCTACAACCAGAACTGCATCATGTTGGCAATTGCACACCTGTATTGTGCTGCCAGATCTCACGGCCTCATTGCAAAAGGCGAAACCTGGGTCGACATGGAGTTTTTCCTCAATAAATTCATTCCGCCCGGAAGCGTCCGCAATCTGCAGGACCATGCCTACGGACTTGGATACGGCAAGAACTGTGACCCGAAATCTATCCTGACTGCTTTCCTTCTTGGAGTTGGGGTCCCCAAGCGGCTTCTTGGCATGGATCGCTCAGAGTTGATCAACGGGATCCATGAATATCGCCTCAAGTCTGATGTTAAGCATGTTCAGATCACTCCTACCTCAGATGTCTGGATCCTGAGCCACGGCAAGCATTTGAATGCATTCCACGAGCCTCGCGTCGGCCAACTGGATATCTACCATCGTCTCTTCCGCTCCGAAACCCCAGGCATGCAAGAGCTCATCGACAAGATGGGCGAACACGAGATCCAGCAAGACGATCTACTGAACTTTGATCTCAAGCCCCTTCTCAGCATTGTCAAGGGAAGCCGGTTGGATAATGGTCATGGCAACGTCCTTCGTACAGTTGCAGAGACTCTGAACAAGTTTGCTAAGAGTGGTGATCCTGGACATGTCAGAGCAATCTGGAAAGAGTTGGTCCCTGGAATCAAGGAATCTGGAAGTCAGGCCACAAACGGACTTCTTGATTGGAAGGCTTCCGTCAAGCAATTCGGCCCATATTGCGGCAGTGTGGCTGTCAAGGAGCACAACGAGGGCATTAAGATCGTGGCAGAAAGATTGGCTCTCTTGCGCTTATCTGTCCAAACACCCGAAGAACGCGAGCTGCTGCACCACTCGGAGAAGGTCTACGACACCATACTGAGAAAGAAGGGCGAGATCGAAGCGTTCATCACCAGGTCCACACACGAGGAGCGCGGTGACCTGCTTGACACCGTACAAAACTGAAAGACAATATTCCGAGCCTTCATCGTCAACAGATCCGACCAATTATCGGTATGTAGACTGGCCAGGCCTCATCAGAATTGAGACCATCCATCTTGCGTTCCTCACACGATATTGAAAGAGCCAGATCTCCATGACTTGAAGCCTGCGCTTCAAGCCACCAGGAGATTTCACATTGTTCTCACAAGATCTGAGGCTTTTCTTCCAGAGACAGGGCCTTTTCCAAAGTTAAAGGCTTTCTTTACGTATATAGTCGAATCAGTATCACGGCTATCAATTCAGTTCTTCATTTCTCATTTCTTCATCTATACATTGGGCCAGCGCGTTAAGCTGTGTTTATACTTGGGCCTGTTTGCGTTGTGAATTGATTTATTGTCTGGTCTGGCCCTTCTTTACTTGGTGAGATTTGAGGAAGGAAAATGCATTTGTCACATGCTTGCACGTATTGAAGCAGACACACCCTATCGCACGAGAATATTCTCGCCAGTCTTCTCGGGCGAAATATCTGGACGCTGTTGTTACGAAACTCCTCTTCCACGGCTGCTTCAGACAACATATTCACCACACCACAGGGTCTTTTGCCCTTCTTACATGTATCAGGTACTTCCTTGAGTACGTGTGATAGATTTCCTGGATGATTGATGATGATCTAAACAGGTGGTCGCGTCAGCTAAGTAGCGCGAGGTGCCGCTTCCACTTCTCGGTGTTCAACGCGCCTTCCTTCTCTTCTTGAATGTCTTCGCGCCTTTTGCAACACGCAGTCTCTCTCACCGACATCATTCTTCGTGCAGATCCCTCCCACAAACCAAAAGATTGCGCCGCACATCGAAAAGCAAATCCAAACCACTTCCGTTTGGAGTCCACATTCTCGCCTCCAGTCCTCTCGCAATGGCAGCCATACTTCCCGAGATGCCTGACTTCGTCACTTCTCTCGAGGTAACCCAAATCTTGTCCTCATCTCTCCAAAATGCTGATTTCCTCTAGCTTCGCCAAGGCCCAATCGACCAAGACACCATCGGCTGGTTGAACGCTGTGCAAAGCTGTATTGATGCCCTCACTTCATGGGATTGCACCGACAGAGGCCTCATCTACGCTCGTATTCACGAAGACGCGACTTCCTGTACTCTCGCTCGCATCACTCTGAGATCCAAGGGCATCAACAATGTCAAGCCCCAACACATATACTTCAAAGAGGATCTCGAGCCCGCTATCTCTAAATTGCTGAGACACAATGAAAGAACCCGGATCGCGAATGCCAAGTTCTACGGCGAAGGAATTCCAGCTTCCAACGACGAATTGGAAAGCCCGGAGCGCAAGAGAGGAGAGACTGATGCTGCACATGCCACGAAGAGATTCCGACATGAGGTCGACCACAAACTCGAGAGTCTCATCATTATGCTCTATGGATTACGCGCATGGGCACACGACGAGTCAGACGGATCCTCCGAACATGCTTGTGAAGGTATCCTGGAGCTTTTCGTGGACGCCTTGGGTGTTCTGGAAGGCGAGAGACAGGATGAGAGATGTTGCGAGTTGAAGGTCGAGAGACAAAAGAAGCAAGCGCTCAACCAGGAGTTGGAAGCCCTGGTTGAAACCCTTCACACTCTGCAGAAGCGTGTTTGCGAGGACTTTGGAATCAAGCACATGGTTGCAGAGCTGGGACTGGATGGATATCCAAATGGATATCCAATGGATATGAGGTTGGATATAGGTTGGATATGGATATGGCCCTATATCCAATCCAGTCCAAATTTGACTGGATATCCATTGGATATCCAGTCTAGTGTCTTGGCAGGCTTAATTAGGCAAGGTGGCTGCTAAGGACCCCTCATCTAATGCAAAATAGAAAAACTCTGCCGTGATTCGAACTGCGGTTGTTTCAAATTTTAACTAGGTTGTTTCTTAACATACTACCTTCTCTTTAACGATTGGACCTTAATTGCCTAAGAGGTGTTTTATATTTTTTGAAGTTCTATATTACCCAATGCGGTAATATCCAATGGATATGACTGGATATGACTGGATATCCAGTCCAAATGGATATCCAGTCATCGGTGGATATTGACTGGATATTGTGGACTTGGAAAGGGGGTCCTCTAGATATGGATTGGACTGGATAAGTTGGACTGGATATCCATCCAGTCCCATCTCTGCATGGTTGTCCGTCGCTTGTTCCTTGAGCTCCACGGCGAGATCTTGAAGTTGATGACGAACATCTGAGGGAGTGCCTGAGAGATTGGGGCGACGCTGGGCAGTAAGACACGGCTCAGGTGAGGGGGTTTGATCGGATTAGAGAGAGGTCTACACGGTTTCGCTTCGAACAGATTTTTGTTTTTTGCTTTGCACTACAATTCAACAACACAGCTAGTGGTCGTCGCATCAAATACCAATGTCCACTTATTACTGATGACAGTCGAGACGTTGCTGATATGATCTGGGATACAATGAGTTTGATTGCAAGTCGGCTTCAACTATCATGATGTATAGCGCCGTCTGCATGAACATGCAAAATATTACATACCGTTTTCACTTCGTCAAGACAAGTCTCCTCGGCTCGCGGCACATCTCAACCCCTTCTGGCCAGTCATTATCTCTCAAAGGTCAACCTGCCTTGACATTTGTGGTCAACTGAAGGTCCCTGAATCTTGACCCTGCATTTGAAGCAGATCCTGAGTGTTGCTACAGTCGTGCAGCCCAAGAAGATCTCCATCAGAGTTCCGGAAAGAGATCCCTCCTCTTCCTGGAATGACTTTAAACTCTTGTGTTGCAGAATGTGATAGATGTTGTGCTTCAGATACTTGTCAGCGGCTTTGCGGAGGCGATTGTCTGCGAGTTTTTCTCCGTAAATCATCGCGTGAACCTCAAAAAGCTCATCAAACGGTCCGTCCAGGATGCTGCTGGACTCTGCTGCGTAGTCCTCGAAGTTGTCCAATATCTTATCTCTTAGACTTGGGCAGTCATACTTGTCGGCAATCTTGAAGACTGATGCATGGAAGGCAAGATTTGGACCTTTGTTGGGGCCAATGATGGAAGCGTCGTTGTATGGGAGCTCGTAACAGTGATGGAGTAGGGCGAGCACGGCTTTGGGGTCTTCGTCAAAGTCAAGTTCGATGGTCTTTCCTTTGGTCTCCTGTCATATATTAGCGATGTCATCACAAGAAGGAGGTTAGACAAACCAGGAATCCCTTGGTGAAGGCTTTGAGGAAGAACTTCGATCTCAAAGCAAGGATTGCCTTGTGGGCGTAAGTCTTGGTCTGACGATAGTTGATTACGACATCGTGATAGTTCGGATTGTCGAAAAGCCTAGACTGGGTCAGGTGGGGCGGTGCATGTATGACAGGGAAAGACTTACACATGGTCCGCCACTACCGAGGGCGCACTTCCCATGATGGATCTGGAATGGAGAAGATACGAAAGGGTCGATGTGTTGGATGTTCTTGTTGCAGTTGTAGAGACATGAGACAGTTGCAAGATTCCGAGCGTTATGAGATCTGGCGGAAAAAGCAGGCGCGACTGTCATCTCGCTGTGACTTTTATTGAGCTTCGACGACATGTTGAGCAGGAGCGAATCTGTCCAAAGCGGTCCGGAAAGCATACATATCGTTGACAAATCTACCTGATAGAAGGGAAATCTGTCCGTCTGAGATGGATGATGTTAAGAGAGCGGTACATCCAGCCGTGTAGAGTATTTATACCAAACATTTTGATGACTGACCATCTTGCTGCGATAAGCTTTCTTTCAATGTGGTACATGCTAACACTTGAACGTCTTTGTTCGTATGTCTCTGCGTCTTTCTTTACATCACTCATCGATCTCAAATACACTCAACAATCTCAGATACACTCATCAATCACACTTACTAGCAGCCCTGAGCTTGAAGATGACCATGACTCAACGCCCACTCGTTAAATACCAGTCATGGAATGTTCCTCCAGTATAAAGGGCCATCAAGACGATTAGACACCTTTCACGGCACGAGAAATTATAACCACAGCGCCCAAATTCCCATACTGAAGCATGGCCTTGCACTCCATCAAGCAAAAAGCACGCAAGATAAGGACTGCTCTTATCCTCGCCGCTCTCGCCACAGTAATTTTCACATCTGCTACGCCATTCAACACCGCCTCAACTCTTCCAGCCGAGCACACTCATAAGCCTTACGATACTGTCGACCACGATTCACCCTTCAGATACACAAACAAAAAGACCTCAACGACGAAACCAACGACTGCCTCTTCTATGTCCGATGCTGAAAAAGAGAAACCGCTATTGGGTCTCGGCATCAGAACTATGACCAAGGGACCTTCATCATCCACACCTAATATTGCTTCTACTATGTCTGATTCGGAAAAAGAGAAGTTACTTTTGGGTCGTGCCTTTACGGGACGCGCCAGAAAAGCTTCGAGATATCCGTCCGATGCTGATTCTACACTCTCCAAGTCGGAAAAGAAGAGACTGCTTTTGGATCTTCCAACATTGTCAGCTCAGTACAATCTTCGTCTTGGTCGTTGTTAGTTCTTGATCAGCGGGCCCCTTGTCCAACTCCTGCCGCCATGCATAGTGTTATTCGGTCTGTAGAAATGCACAGTATTTTTAAAATTACTCTAGTCGTCCGTAGAGAGCCGCTTAATATCACGCTCTCAGTGGAGGGCTGCCCTAATTTTAAAAACATCGTGCATTTTTGCAGCGTGCGCGTGACAAAGGTCTGCATACGGGGATGATCTCCTTCGAGGGCCCACCATCTCACGTCTGCACTTGACACCACCGTTCTGATTGGAAATTATTGCGGTGAACTCTACCATGCACGCTACCACCTTCCATCATGTTGCAATATGCGTGCCCTTGTCAACTACTCCTTATCGGCCCCATGAAGCTCGGTTTCCCCGCTCGAAAGCATGCCGCTCTCCTTCCCGATCAAGCAGGTTCTAAGCAGACGCCCCACTAACTTTTCTTAATGTTTGTCGATCTGCCACCATCGCGTCTGCTATCTCGTAAACATCTCTCGCGACTGTCGTCCGTCGGACCTCTGGAATGGCTCGCCATGCTATCAACACGGATCACGGACCAGAAACTTGATACAGACTGGCATGCTACATACAAAAGATAATCTAACCTGGCGCATGGCTAGTCCTACTCTGGACAATTTCATGGCAGCTCGCCAGATCTCCGAGTATTGGCGTGATTGCGGGTATTGTGACTGATATTATATGAGCGGGATCGTTTCGGGTGGCCATTCTATAAGTACTGTACATTTCCGCACTCGAGACTTGCCCTTCTTTGCATCCCTCATTGTTCTTACGACTTAGCAGAGATGTTAGGCACTCTTTCGCTTACGCTGTCTATGCTTGGTGCAGTGCAAGCGGCTCCATGGTATCAGTCGGCATCTTTCGCTCATCCCGGCTGGTCTTCTGCGGTGTAAGTCACCCTCCCTCACCGAATCGCCTCAACAAATCAGTGGCTGCCGGGATGCACGATGGAGTCTGTTCTACTGCGTCTGCTCAGTGAGAGTGTACACAATTCGCGCTCTCATTGGAGGCGCACCTGCTTCCGAAAAACATTGTGCAATTTGATGTGTATCAAGAACAGGTGCTGAGTGGTGGGGAGCAACGAGGAAGAGAGCAATTATGATAGCATCTCAGCCATGCGACACCGACGCAAGAAGCACATCAAAATGCACAAATGTATTTGGAAATGAGCGAAGGTCTCACAGTGATGAGCTACTCGACACACCCTCATCGGAAACGACTTTTTGTGGATTCCATCTTGCATCTTCTCAGCCATGAGCGTGAGAATGAAGTCCTTGAAAAGCGGATCTAACATAATCACAGAGTAGTTACGCCGGATCAGCCGAAGCCATCATGGTATCGCCCATACCCTATTGGCTCCTCGCACATCATTCATTGGAGCGCTCCTACTGGTAACTCGACAGGCTCGGGCACTGGTGTTCTTTCAACGGGTGTCGTCCCCCCTTATACGGAAACTGGGTCGACGACTGTTGGCACCACCGATTCTGTACCAGCCACTATCACCACCACTGCAACAGCTACAGCTGTAACCACTGCACCCACTGGAACCAGTTCGGCCTTGGCTAGTCCTTCCTCGTCGACGCCTGGCGGTCCAGATGCTTGCGCGAGTGTGTCGAAGCTTGTAGCATCGTTTACATCCGCTTCGCCCAAAGCTACACCGACTGTCCCAGCCGACATTGCGTACGAATGTCTCAATTCCATCCCATTCAATCAGAGTGCTGCTTCTGATCTACTGGAGTCGATGAGGCCTTATCTCAATTGGCAAACTACTATTGCCTATCTCAAGGACCCTCCAAAAGACGTGAGTAGCGAAACTGACCCCATGGCTCAGATTCACCATACTACCGTCGAGGATGACTGAGATGCTGACTTCTTGCTCTAGTATGCAGACAAGATCCAGCCGCCATACGACTTCTGGGGCATCTTTGACGCCATAGAGGCTAACGTTGCCGCCGGAGCTTATGCCAGTGAATACGACTTTGGTTGGGATGTCTACGAGTCTTTCCAACAAGCACATGACGGTCATTTCAACTTCGTACCAGACAGTGTTGGAAGTGTCTTTACTTTTGGACGAACTGTCCCACTTGCATCCGTGTCCGAGGATGGCAAGAGTCTTCCAGTCATTTATGCTTATGCTGATATTCTTGCTGCGTCATTTGGCAATGCTTCATTCACACCATCCTCTATTGTTGAGATTGACGGACAGAATGCTACTGACTTCCTGCTTGACTGGTCGCAGTATGGCTCTCTCCAAGATAGAGACGCCCTTTGGAACAATCTTTTCTACATTCCTGCACAGGTCTCTCTCGGCTCATCTGGTACTGGTACTGGCACCTTCTCTGGAAGCGGCCGTGGTCGCTACGTATACCCAGGAGCAGCAACCACATTCACCTTTGCCAATGGTTCTACTGTGACAAACCAGAATTTCGCCAGGGTATTGGCCAATTTTGGCAACATTACATCGGGAGCCGATATCTACAAAGAGTACTTTGCGGTCCCGTCCGATGCTTACGCCAAAGCCCTGAGTCTTGCTACATCCACCACTAGCAGCGCAACTAGTTCCGCTACCAACGGCTCTTCTTCAAGCACCTCATCCGCAGTCACATCATCGACGCCCGCACCTGGTTACCCTTCTCCAGTTGTGCGCCAGTCTAACAACCTCAATTCAGGCTATTTCCTGGATCAGCCCGGCTTCGAAGACGTCGCAGTTTTGGCCGTCCCGTCATTCGTTGGTAGCGGCGATGTTGAGGTTGAATTTCAGAATGTGAATAGCGAGTTGATCGCTGCTGCTCTCGCGGCAAACAAGACGAAACTAATCATCGATGTCTCCGCAAACGGCGGTGGTACCATTTTGCAAGGTTATGACCTCTTCAAACAGCTCTTCCCTTCCATACTACCCTATGGAGCCACTCGGTTCCGCGCACATGAAGCTTTCGATATCTTGGGTCAAGAGTATTCTGCTATCGCTGCAAACTACACACGAAGCTTGAATCAGAGCGATGACATCCTGGATATCGAGTCTTCAGCCTGGAACTACCGCACCGATGCCGACATCAATTATGAGCCTTTCACAAGTTGGCCCGAGAAATACGGCCCTCACGAGTTTGGAAATGACAATTTCACCTCAATCATCCGTTGGAATCTGTCTGACGTGCTCACCCCTCTTAACTCTGGTGGCATCTACGTATCTGGCTACCTCAACCGCTCAAACATCACTGTACAGCCCTTTGCCGCCGAGAACATTGTTGTGGTATACGACGGTTACTGTGCATCCACCTGCACAATCTTCTCCGAGTTGATGCGCCAACAAGCTGGCGTCAAAACGATCGCTCTTGGTGGTCGCCCAAACTACGATGGAATCCAGGCAGTTGGTGGCGTCAAAGGCACAAACGATTTTCCCTGGTCGTACATCTTGAGCGCTGCCGAAGAAGCATTCATCTACGCCAACTCTACTCATCAGGAGGAGCTAAACAACACCGCTCTGGGTGATTACTCACAACTTCCGCTATACCGTAGTTCTTCGGGCCCTGTCGTAAATTCACGAGACGGTATCCGTGAGGGCGACGAAACAGGAACGCCTCTGCAATTCGTTTATGAGCCAAGCGACTGTAGAATCTTCTACACGCCTGCCATGGTTGTAGACCAAAGTGTAGTTTGGCGCACTGTTGCCGACACCGTTTGGGGTCAGTCTGATGCCTGTGTTGCGGGAAGCAATGCCTTCTACGGTAACAAGACCAAGAGAGATGCCAGCATGACGAGAGTGCATGGAGTGCGCAGAGATATCGATATTGAACAGGCTTACAAGGGACTTGATGTGCACACAGAGGAAGGTATCGTCCTTGGGGGCGACTCCATCATGCTTCCTTAGTAAGATGAAGCAACATATACTGTGAACAAGAAATAGATGAGAGTTGCATGTATCTACCGACTGTTCATGAGATTGTACAGTCCGATAAATATTTCTTCTTAGCTACAGCTCAACTTCCATTCCTCCACTACACTAAGGCTGCTTCTTACACATCTTGCCCTCAGCACCCCTGCCGATATCATGACCACCACAATTTTTATCCATCCAAGTGGCCCACTTGCCCTTGATCAATCTATTGTCCGTCCAAGAAAGCTTGTTGCGCTGACACACGCAAGGAAATATGACATCTCTCCACCACGAACCCACACGGCTCCCGCTAATAGGATGAGGATTTTCCAAATTGCAGACTTGGTCGATTGATAGCTCTTCGGAGTTGTATGTGGGGCCATAGTGTTTCCAGTCGGTGTTGAGGCCGCCGATCTCGATGCATTCTTGGAGTTCATGGGGGAGGCCGGATATATCTACTGCGGCGAGAGTGGTGGAGGTGGCGGCCAGAAGCGCGAGAAGATATTTGGTTGGGCGCATCTTGTGTGTTGTTTGCGTTGTGTTTGTGATGTGTGTTGTGCGAGTTATTGTATACCACTTGTTTGAGGTGTTTGGGGCTTCCTGAGATGCTGGTGATGGATTTTGTAAGAGCAGGCAAGACTTTGAATGATGAAGATACTGAAAGACAGGCCTCTACTTAAAGGAAAGTAGATGGATTGGTGACTCAGGATGAGTCGAGTTGTGAGTCGCGTCGATTTCAGTCATGGGACTCAAACTCTCGCATTTTGAGGTTGTTACCTGGATGTAAGAATGTGACTCTACCATAGCTTTCACAAATTGGTTCTCCGACTGGTTGCAGATATGCGGGTGACAGTTAGATCTGTCGTCAAAAGGCAGGAAGGTGTTAAGAGAGGAGAGAGGATCCATGAGATAGATGGGACTTGCTTTTGCCAGGGTTTATATTTACTGCTGGAATGGCACTTTCGTCCAGCCGCAACGCGGTTAGCCAATCATTGTAGCCGGGGCCCAGCACAGCTGTGGCAGATCCGTAGTACGTGGTTGGTGCACACCCTTTTTTCGCCTATGTCGCGAGTCGATTCGCCTGGTGATCAACTTTTTGCTTTTTGCCATTTACGAGGCGAAAATCCGGCTGTCGTGTTGAGAGGATGAGTATCGGTCGTCGGTCGTGCAGTCATACAGTAGGGACTAGGGAGACGTACGTGAAAACGAGGAGAGAGTATCGATAAAGAAGACTACGCGGGAGATCTGCCGCGCTTCTGTGGACATCTAGTCAGATCTGAATATCACTGTGCATTTTTACAGGGGGCTAAATCGACGGAGCTTTGGCTAGGATACAAAAGTTTTCCGATAGTACTTCTCCTATACTACTACATTACCCCTTAACAAGGGTTGAGAAAATAGGTTTCCCGATGCAAGATACACTAACGAAAGTATACGTCAAAAGGCAAGAAGATATTAGGATGGAGGTGTTTGTCCACAGAGAGTGGAAATATTTCGTGCTCTCTGTGGACGTTTGCGAGGATGCAAAAACCTTCTTGCCTTTTGACAGGGGGTTTGAGTGGTGTGTGGGAGGCTGGGAGACATCCGCAACTTGAATGCTACATATTAGTAGCCATGGAAGTTATGATAGCAGAATGGCAGAGCCGACATGAGTCGAATTCAACACCCTTGATAAACACTATGGGACTCGGGCATGGAGATTTGGAACGCCAATCGAGGGCAGAAGTAACGGGGAAGCAACCAAAGCGAGCGGGATATGCGATCTGGAACGCTACCCGGGGAGTGAAGCGGGATTAGGAGCTTTGGAAATTACATAGATGATTTCTAAGATCCGGCGAAGGGGAAAGTTTTCGAAATTTCAACATCATCACCTCCTCCCTATGAATATGAAGGTAGCGGCAGTCCAAAGCCCAGACATATTTACTTCTTTGTATTTCATCATTCAAGCATACGAAAATGGAACCTTCAAGATATTTAGATCTGTTGAATTAGACATGTCGAGAGCTTATGATATTTGATCTCCTCTGAGCTTCCAGGGCTAGCTATCATCTACTCGGCTAATGCATACTCTCAATATTCACTAGCAACTCTCAGGGTCCTCTCGTTTACAGCAAACCTCGTCATCTTCGTCTTTTCGAACTCCAGCCAGTCTCATCCTCATCGTCTTCTCGTTTCAGCAAATCTCATCATCCTTCTCGGTCTAGGTCTTGGTCGTCCACACATCCTTCTCGAGAAGCTTGCGACTGATCAGCTTCTGTTTGGCGACAAACCTTCCCAAGATGCCAGACGCGTCTGCCACAGCCTGCGAGGGCAAGGGGAGAACGACCAGACTTCCCAGGCTCTGCACAACGCAGATGTTGTTCTCGTTCGAGCAACCTTTGCAAGCAAAGTTACCCGGTTCTTCTGTTGTCCAATTGTGGGAACGCTTCATGAGCATGCTTCGGAGACACCTATCTTTGGTGTTTACGGACAGCCAGTCCACAGACTTCCCCTCGAAGTACTTCACGTGTGATTCCCAGATCTCTAGCATGGTATCCCAAGTCTCGTCGACTCCGGCATTAGTTGCCAGATCGCCAATCTCGTCCACCCAAACCTTGAGTCCCTCTCGAGATCTTCTGGCTGGTGGTTCCTCGGCGGGTGGTGTGGATGAGGGCCTCTTCCTAACATTGGAATGTTGACGAGATCCATCCGATGGTGCAGTTCCCTCCGAATCGTCGTCACTGATCGAGCTGATGTCTTCGTTTTCGAGCGACTCGTGCTGATCGGGCTCGTCTTCGTATCCGTGTTGCACAGGATAGTCAGGGTCCGCATCCGACATCGAGTCTTGGAACGGAGCAGAATTTCCACCATCGAAGTTGACATCATCAGTGATAGACTCTCCCGAGAAGCTTTGGTTGTCTTGCGCTTCGGTGTTGTCTCCAAATGTGTCATCGGAAGGTTCAGCCAAAGCGTTGAGTATTTCTCCATGTGATTGAACAGTCGTTTCAACTACCGTCAGGTTTTCTGCAACCATCGAAAAACCCTCGACCTTCATGTCGAGCTCATCGAGGCGAGCAGTCAGCTCTACCACCTCCTTGGGGATGTCCTTGTGGATGCGAATGTGTGTTTTTGCTTCCGGAGCAAAGCTCAAAACACTTTGGAATGTCGCCTCGAGCGAATCCATGCGAGCTTTCGTCATTTTCAAATCTTCAATACTAGCTTTGCGATTGGTCTGCTTTTGCGCAAACTTGAAACCCTCCTCGGTCTGACTGCAGACGCCATCCAGCTCTTTTACCCACCGGCTCATGTTCGATATGACGCCTTCGAGTAAATTCGTATGCTCGGTCTGCTTCTCGACACAGTGGGTAAGGTCTTTGCCAGCCGCCTGCATGTTCGTGAAGGATGTTGCTGCGGCAAGTCTTAGGGCCTTGACGTCTTTCTCGAGACCTTGGAGTGTGGTCTTGGTCTCTACGTGGTTCCTCGACAGGGTT